AGAGAGAGAGAGAGAGAGAGAGAGAGAGAGAGAGAGAGAGAGCGAGAGAGAGGGTGTGTAACAAAATAATATAGGGAGAGAGGAAGAGGGATGGAGGATGAAAAAAGGGGAAAATGAGAGGGGAAATAGAAAGGGACGGAGGAAGAGGGCGTGGGAGAAAGAAAGGGGGAGGCACATATAAGGGAGCAATTAAGTTAACTCGATGGATGTACGGCTTATTATTGGATTGCCACAAGTGGTCTCGCAGCAGACACCCGCTCAGCGGCACAATACAGAGACAAGCGGCATGAGCGACGGATGATGAATCATTCAAGCAGCGTGCATGTATGTATATCGACCGACGTCGCCTACAATCCGCACACTGCTCACGCGATCCCGCTGATTGACAACGCGGTGATGCAATCATTCTGGCTGCCTTATACCAGCGGTTATAGCGTAGAACGCGGCGCCATGAATTTATCAAGAAACCCTTAATTAATTAAATAATTAATAATTAATTAATTTATTGAGACCCTTCTTAATACGCTCTTGATATTATTGTAGTCGGTTTCACCTTTTCACGACACAACAATATCAAGAGATAATAATACTAGAATATAATAATATAACACTATAATAATAGGTATTCTTAGCTCTTGATGATATGCATGGGGTAGCTCTACCGGCGTGGCTCCTTCGCTCCCGCTACAGGAGAGCGAAGAGGTTAGTTACAACGAATTGATGTATACCAGGGCCGTAGCCTGTGGGGGAGGGGGCAAGGGGGCAGCTGCCCCCTAGATTTTGTAGCAAAATTAAAAAAAGCTGAGCTAATAATCGTCAATAATTCTAACGTGATTTTTTTGGTCACTTATCCGTGAAAGCCTAATTGTCTCAGACCCATCCCTACCACACTATGGACGTCGATCAAGAGCTGCGCCCGTCGCTCATCATTACACTGTTGAGTCATAAAATTTTGCCCCCCCCTACGAATTTGCCCAGCCTTCAGCCCTGTAAACGGGAAGCGGCTAGCCCGGGTGCGAAATTTTTTTCCCCAATCGAGTTTCGGACCCACCATAGATAGTGTTTTGTAATATATGGTTCGTATATATGTGGTTGGATTATAGTTAGTGTTAGGGTTCGTGTACGTGTTAGGGTTAGGGTTAGGGTTAGGGTTAGGGTTAGGGGTATTCATTTTACATTGTTGCTTCGAGGAAGTCGAGTGAATGGAGTGCGCTGATTGGCTGTGGTCCGGAACTCAAGTGGGAAATTTTTTTTCGCAGCCCGGGTGCGTGTAGCTACGAGCAGCCTAGCTTCGGTAAACTGCTCGGCCGTGCCACAGTGATCAATGGTGGCGAGCGTACGGCTTGACGCTCGTTCTCTAGAGTTTCTCGCACTCACTAAACCCTTTCGCTATATCTACGACACTATACATGCGTTTAAGATGTTTGATGATGCATGCACGCACGGATGGACGCACGCACCGACTCACGCGCACGCGCACGCACGCATGTACGCGCACACACATCGACGCATGCATAATTCTTGTCCTTTTCAACTCTCTCTGTCATCACTACTTCTCGCAGCGTCTGCTTCCATATATAGTATTTTGACTCGACATGCATGCATGCAGTGTACACATCTTCAGCTGCCGAGCATATATCGGGTGGCGCACATTTTGGCAACGCTAGCTGCTGCCAGCGACGTACTGATATGTGTCAGGCGGAGCCTGTGAGCCGGCTCTACGGGATGCACATCCATTACCACCCCTTCCCACCCCCACCCATGCTGGTTCAAAGAGCTTATAACGACTCGATGTCACCACGCTCTAAACTTATTCTAAAGCGATGCACAACTAGTTTCACTTATGGTACCGGTTCTATTTTATCAAAAGCTAATAATAGCTCTAATCTAATTATAATAATAATAATATTAATTAACAATAATAATAATAATAGGTAATAATAATAATAATAATAATAATAGGTAGTAATAATAATAGGTAATAATAATAGGTAGTAATAATAATAATAATAATAGGTAGTAATAATAATAGGTAGTAATAATAATAGGTAGTAATAATAATAATAATAATAGGTAGTAATAATAATAATAGGTAATAATAGGTAGTAATAATAATAGGTAATAATAATAGGTAGTAATAATAATAATAATAATAGGTAGTAATAATAATAATAGGTAATAATAGGTAGTAATAATAATAGGTAATAATAATAATAGTAATAATAATAGGTAATAATAATAGGTAGTAATAATAATAGGTAATAATAATAATAATAATAATAGGTAGTAATAATAATAATAGGTAATAATAGGTAGTAATAATAATAATAGGTAATAATAGGTAGTAATAATAATAGGTAATAATAATAATAGGCTCTAATAATTAATTATTAGCGCTTGATATTATCGTTGTGAAGCTGAAAAAACGGTTGTCGGCTGCTGACGTGAAGTTACTGTACGGGGAGCGTATAAGGGAGATATAACGCACGCTGACGCGATTGCCTGGTAATATCAATCATCAGCTATGTATGCGACTCCTGCATGGTGACACTCGTCACATACACGTGTGATGCATGTATGTGTGTGTCACATGCACATGTCATACGTGAGTATAATATGTGTCATATACATATGTCCTATACATATATGCTACATATACATGTGTCATCATTATTGGGTGTTTATTCATGTGTCATATACACATAGTGACACACACGCGCGCGCGCGCACACACACGCACACGCACAGACACATGCACACGCACACAGGCACACACACAAACACAAACACACACACACACATACACACACACACACACACACACGCACACACACACACACACACACACACACACACACACACACACACACACACACAACAACAACAACAACACACCACCAACTCAACAAAAGAATCTCGCTCTGTTTCACCCTCTCTCTTCGCTCCACACCACCCCTCCTGCACCCTCGCCTCTGTTCCCCCCACCATATCATATCAATCTCCCCCACCCCCATCCATGGCCCCTTGCTTTATGGAAGTTTCCTTAGCTAGCCTCCACCCCCTCCTGCACCACGCGCTCCCCCACCCTCTATTAAAACTACTTATCTGGTCCATGAACGCCATAAAGTTGACTGATATCAGGCCTGAATTGCTTCTAAGGCCAACTCTCGATTAACCTCGACGTACGTAATTGCAGAGGAAGGAGGTTCAGGCCGCTGCTGAGACACCTCGACACGGTGGTTACAATGCGGCAGGCCTCGCCCAGAAAATTAAATAATGGCGCGTCGCGGCATTGCAGGCCTTTACCTTTCTACACCGTTGAGCTTCCCTGATCCAAAACCTGCCCTCTAATACACCCCCCGTGAGTCCCCACGTCTCTCTCTCTCACTCCTCTCTCTCTTCCTGTTCTCTCCACTCCTCTCGCAAGAGCGCTCTCTGTCTCTCGCGTATCTCGCCCGTTCTCTTTCTCCGTTTCTCACGCCATCCGTTTCTCAAACCCTGGATTTCTATTCCCCCCCCCCGCGCTCTTCTGGTCGCTCCCTCTTATTTATTTCGCTTATATATATATATGATAGTATATATATTATATATATATATATTAATATATAATATTGATATATTATTCCTGCTATTATATTCCTCATAATTATTTCGCGGATACTTCATCCCGGCGCTTGCCTCACGCCATCATCGACCTCTTGCGTCAGCGTCATCATCATTCTGTTCAGCCGTAAACATATCCCTCCCCCGTACATCCTTGCATTTCCTTTCTGTTTCCGGCCAAACATATCCCTCCCCCTACATCCCATATTCCTTTTGTTTCGCTAACATATCCTCCCCCTACATCGCATATTCTTTCGTGTGTCGCGACAAACATATCGGCCTCCCCCTTCATTCCATATTCCTTTTCTGTTCTCGCCAAACAATCCCTCCCCTACATCCTTTTATTCCCTTTCTCTATCCTGACCACATTCGATCCTGTCTCAATTCACACATTGCCGCATAACCCGCTGTCCCACACTTGCATGGCTTCTTCCGTTTGTTCCCCAGCATCCTATCCTCCCATCCGCTTGCATGTCCGCATCCTCCAGCCCCCACAAATCGATTTGCTACGCAACCGCTGCGCTCGTGACTCACCGCGCACA